ACTTCACTTATTATGGTTGTCCCTAATTGGTTTGTTCCATTTAAACTAATATGTAATGCTAGTAATACATCTATAGGAACAATGCTTGGACAAATAAAGGGGAAGGTATTTCAAATATTCACTATGCCAGTAAGACCTAAGATGAGACCTAGAGGGATTATATTACCATAGGAAAAAGAATTGTTGTTTGTAGTGTTTTTATTTGATACATTTGATTTCACCTTTTGATATCTAAAGTAATTGTTTACACTGGTCATTTTGCTATCAAGTACTAGCTTGTTAAATAAGATGCAAAATCTAGACTGATGAAGTGAATACTTCTTTAAGAGTTTAATTTGGAGATAAGTGACAAGAAGGGAATAGAGAATCAAATAGCATATCAATTGTGTTGAATTAAGTCTTCTATATTCCAAAAGGAGGAATGGGAGATCAAGAAGATCTTCCTAGATGAACCTTTTTTAGTTGTTAATTAAGTTCGTGATATGCTAATTTGGTGAATCATTTAACAAGAAATATCTATCCACTGATCTTTCACATGCATAAAGGAAGAAAATTTTATCAAATGCTAGACATTATATATAGGAAGAACCTTACATGTTTAAAATATGTGGGAATAGGATAATTAGGAGATGTTCCTAAGGAGGAAACTTACGCAATTTTAGAACATTGTCACTTTAGGGAGGTGATGACCACATTGGTGCTACTAGGACTTCTAAAAAGGTTCTTTAAAATGGTTTTTATTGGCTCACTCTCTCTAAGAATGCCTTTAATTTTGTGAAATCCCGTTATAGGTGTTAAAAGAATAACAACATTTCAAGAAAGCATGATGTGCCTTTGAATAATATTCTAGTATGTGAAATTTTGATATTTAAGGCATAGACTTTATAAGATTGTTTCCTAAATCATTGAGTAATGAGTATATATTAGTTGTTGTGGATTATATGTTTAAGTGGGTTGATGATGACACACATTTTTTATTCACATTTATAGTTTTATTTTGATTCCAAAATACTTTTTATATGCTTTATTTTTAGAGTTTTTCCCATTTTCTGGTGATTGAAATAAATTGAGTTTGTTATACATAAATACTTTAATTTTGTATTTTGACTATTCTAACCTTTTTCTACTCTTGTGACCATAACTTTTTCTATAAATATTTTTTTTTGCTTATTGTAGTTGAATTGGATTCTAGACATCTAGAGCTTCAAAAATCATGTATGGATTGTTAGATTTGGAGCTATTTTTTATTTTTTATGATTTTTTGAAGTTGAGATAGATGTGTTGAATTTTGTATGGGGGATCACATGTGGATCCTTGTAATTGAATATTTATATTTAGGCTTTTAAATATAATTAAGGCTTGGATTTAGGCCATTTAATTTTTTTAATTAGAGCTTATAATTAGACTAATGAGACTTTGAATTGGTGTTGGACAATTTACTTTTCTAATCTTCAAATTTGGCTCCAAAAGATTCCCTCTCAAATTTCCTTTTTCTTTCTTCTGAATTCTCATCTTCTCATTCACGCTCAGGAGTTAGTGCTTCAATGTAAAGCTAAACCTCTAATTCAATCTACTGATTCAAGATGATGTAATCCAAATTGAGTTTTATATTAATTGCTCAAAGTTTGTTCTCCTATTCTTTAATTTTTGAATTATGAATTTTGATTATGATTTATTTTCTGTGGATTAGAATTGAAATTAGGAAATCGATTGATATTTTGATTTGATAATTAGTTATGGATTAGATTAAAGAATACTTGATTTAATTTTTAATCTAGTTCAATTAGATTATTTGATTGAATTGGTTAATTGTTCAAACTTAAATTTAAATCTTATGATATTATGATATTTAGAATTGCATGGATCTGTGAATATGTGGATTGATATTTTCTATTTTGTTTTTCATCAAGTAAATTGCATTTATGATTTTAATTCAATTGATTTGTATTCACGAAATTTTCAAATTGTTACTTGATTTATGAAAATCTTGAAATTAAATTTAGTTAATATGTGTCTCTGTGAATCGACTTAGGTTAAATTCTATATTGCAAATTTTAGAGAAAATTTAGTTATTTTAATAGCAACTTGATAATCGTTATCAGTTGAGGCTATGGCTTTGCCCACTAATAATACTAAAAGGGTTATTAAGTTTTTGAAAAAGAACAATTTTACAAGATTTGGAACCCCTAAAACTATAATTAGTGATGAAGGAACTCATTTGGTGAATAAACAATACAACTTTGTTAAAAAAGGTCAAGTCATGAAGTTGTATTGTTACCACTTCGTACAATAAAACAAAGAGAAATTTAGTTAATTTAAAGGATAACATAACAATTCTAATAGAAAAATAGGCTAAAATCTCATACATAAAGTAACATAATGATAGTTTATCACTCTTCTTCATTTCAAACTTTCACAAAATATGTTCACTTTTTCTTCCTCCTCCTCTTATCCTTATCTACATCTCCCCAACTCATTCTCCACCTATTTTTCAACTATAATAGAAATCTTCTTTTTTCTTTTTAGTTAATTTTTGGTTGAGTCTTGAGGTCATAAGAGAAAGAGAAGATGGGGAATGAGACAGATGATGACTTCAAGCACAAAAAAAGCACTAACTTCGATGTCAGAGTTGTTGCCTATCTCCATGTATTTCTTATGATCCTAAGATCTAATAAAAAGTCTAAAAAAAGAAATAAAAGTCTATATTGATTATATGCAAAAAAGTTTACAAGTAGTGCATATAACCAACAAAACAACATAAACCCCACATATTTCATTGCAAACAAACACACACACACACACACACATATATATAAACATGAGCAATAAGGTCTGAGAGTCCGATAAGCATGGAGTAGAACCAAATAAACATGGAGCAGAACTTTGAAAATAGAAAAGAGGCGTAGAAGGAAAATAATGTTTTGAATGAAAAATCATTTGGTTTTGCTAGTGTCTTGTTTACAATTTTTGGGATCCTTAATTGGACTTCTAACATATATTCTACACAACCATATCATCATAAATCTCAGCATCAGCATGTTATGAGGAGAGCAACGATAGTGGTGGACATGTTGTAAATGAATCTAATGACGAAGCCTCAAACAACTCAGGCAAGGAAAAGGATAATGGTTCTACTTTTGTCCTATCATTAGTCAATTATACTTCTTACACAATAGCAAATAGCAAGAAAGTTGATTATAATCAACTTCAATGATGGTCATAAGCAGCACACCTGTGGGATGAATAGAAGTTGATTGAAATCCATTTCCTATTTGTATAAAATTTTACTAAATCGATTTTTATATAATCCAAATTAGGATATTTATGTAAACTTATTCACTTTAAAAAATATACATGTTTCATTTAATATATTTTATTTATGTAAAAATTTAATTTGTTTGTAATGTATTTTAAACATGTGTCACAATAGATGAAATTAATTTTTATAATAAACTAAATGAGCCTGTTACTTAATTTTGCACCAAAAGAACTTTTACTTCATAAAAAAACAAAATCAACTAAGCATTCTTATTTGTTTAAAATGGCTTTTTGACAATTTTATTAAAATTATTTATCAAAAAAATTATATGATACTTTTTTTGAGATGATCAAGGGTATTATTTGTATAAAAAATTATATTTATTTTTAAAATTAAAATAATTTATCATAGAATAATATACATTGCGCATTTGATATATGTACTGCTTTACATATGTCTCTTTCACCATAAGAATAATACTACTATGTCTTCTACTAAGTGATAACTTTTTAACAATTTAAAAATTATTTTATTTTATTTTATATTACTAAATATATAAATAGCACTCTCAAAAAAGACTTTAGCATAAAGTTCAACTCTATTCAACTATAAAGTAATTCATCTAATTTTAACTTTATTTTTTTATTAAAAATAATTAAATTTTAATTATTTAACTCAAAATATATGATTTAAATACAAGTTACTCTTGACTTTGTAAGCTTTTTAGTTTATAAGACTTTTAATTTAATAGACTTTTTTTTTATACTAACTTAGATGGTTAAGATATAACTTTATTAGTTGAATTTTTTGAAAGTTTATATATGAGTCATACTATAACCTAATAACATATATTATTATTATTATGAGTAATTTTAATGTTAAAAAATAAATATTCCATCTGATGGAAGTAATTTTTATATGAATAATATATTTTAGGATATAATAAAAAAGTACTTTGAATAAATATTTTTTTTCATTTTTATAAATAAATTTAAAAATGGATAAAAACATCCCTTTAAAACACTAAACTAAAACGCATTATTTTTTTTTATATTTTTTATTTCAAAATTAATTATACAACGATTCAAATAAGACACATCCTTTAATATTACATTCAACTAACTTTTTGAGGGACACTTCTCAAATTAAATTATTTAGCCAATAAATATAAATATGGACTAATATAATAAAAAATTGTTATTTAAATTTATACTTATAATTTAATAAAACTAGCATTCAAATTTTATTATACTATTTTTGTTTCAAATTTAATTAAAATACATTAATAGTATAATATATTATTTAATTACGAATTATCAATTTATCATATCGATAAAACTATTAAATTCTAGAATGATTAATTTAAAAATTATAACTATTATTTTTTAATTGTACATTAATAATATATATTAAAATTAAACTATTTTTTATATAATTTATTTTTTAGACCGAGTTTTACCACTCATTCAAAGAGAGACACGTGGAATCAAAACGCACAGTTTAATAGTTAACAAGCGTGTCAGAGAAGCGCTGTAAAAGAAAAGGAGCGTTTGAGAGATTTTGAAATATCGGTGTTCTAATTTCCAACGGCTACTTCCACTTCTGCTTCTCCTCCTTCTTCATCTTATCTCTCTTCTTTCTCTCTCTTGCAAAAATCAAATCACTTCCCTTCGTTTCTCTTTCTCTCACATTTCGCATTTTCTCGCTGAATTCAGATCCGTGCTGAAACGCTTTCGCTTCGATGGTTTCGAACCAATTTGACCGCGCAGGGTCCAACCCGGGTCGCAAGGTTCGGGTCGTCGCCAAGATCCGTGGGTTTTCGGGTTCAGAGGCCAATTCAGAACCTAGCGCTTCGAGAGCTGTGGAATGGATTTCGGTGAACCGCGAAAATTCGGAGGATGTCGTCACAATCTCCTTCGGAAATCAATCTTCTAGGTATTGTAGGGTTTATGAGTTTTGCAGTTTCGTCTTTATGGATTTTGTTGAGGAATGAACTATAATTGACCGGAGTTGAAGAATTTTGAGCTTTTAGGGTTTGTGATTCTTAATTTGTGCATTTTATGATTTAGGAGAACTGGAATTTTTTTAAGTGACAACAACTGAATTGTAATACATCTCTTAAATCTTTAAGTTTAGGATAAAGCAAGACAGAAAAATATTTACAATCTTGAAATTGAGGCTTTCTTGAGTCTGGATCGTTTATTTTTCTTTATTTTAATAATTTTCTTGTGGGCTACATTCAATGAAAGGGGTCAAGTCACTTATTTGAGTTAATCTTTGTTGTGCAGTCGCTATTTGGTGGACTATTTCTATAAGGAACATGAAGATAATGAAATGATATTTTCAAGGGAGGTGAAGCCGCTTGTGTCAGCGGCTTTTGAAGGTCATAACAGCACTGTTATTGCTCATGGTGCAAGAGGCAGTGGAAAGACCTGTGTAATTCAGGTTTGACTCACTTAGCCATGCTACTTGTCTTTCTGAACAATCCTGGTTGTTGATTTCTATGAAGTAATGTTTTTATGCTAATAATTCCTTTGCTGTATAAGGGCTCTGCTGAGAGACCGGGATTGGCAATGCTTGCTATAGCTGAGTTTCTTTCAATGGCTGAGAAAAATCGGAAATCCATTTCTGTTTCTTTCTATGAGGTTGATCATCAGGAGCATGCTGTTGATTTATTAAATCCAGAACAACCACCAATTTTGGTTTTTGAAGATCGTGGCAGAATTCAGTTTAAAGGACTTACTCAGGTAGAAATCTTTTTGTACTGCTCAGTTTTTCAGACTAGAGGAAAATGGAAATTTCATAGATGGGACAGTAGATAAGTAACATGAGGCTTTGCATTGCGCCTTTTGTCTGCAGATTCCAGTGAAATCCACCACTGACTTCCAGAATTTGTACCTCGCTGCAAGTTCTGCACAGAAGGGAGCTCCCAAAAAAGGAGGCTGTGAACGTTTTCGTAGAAGCCACATGGGATTAATTGTGCATGTCTTCACCCAAAATGAAAACGTAGAATGTCTTCTGAGCAAAATGAATTTTGTTGATTTGGCAGGTTATAATCTCTGCTCAAGTGAAAGATGCCCAAATTTTTTTCTAGCTCATGTAGACATCTTTAAAATTTGACTAACACTGTTATATTTTATTATCAGGTTATGAAGATGCTAGAAAGAAAAGTGGCGATGGCTCTTACCTTGCTGAGATTAACAAAATTAACAAGTCAATTTATGCCTTACTGAATGTTTGTCATGCTCTGACTACAAATGAATGTCGTGTTCCCTACCGGGAAAGCAAACTTACACGCATGCTACAGGATTCCCTGAGGGGGACTAGCAAAATTTTGTTGGTTTCTTGCTTGGTAATTATGACTGGTTTTGAAGATCAAGTTTTCTTTCTCATTCTTTTCAGTAATTTAAGTTTGATTTTGGTCCTTTTTCTTTCGTGTATTGTAAATTTAGAACCCATCATTTTGCCAAGACAGTATTTACATGGTAAGCTTAGCATCACGATCATGTCAAGTTCATCGGATATCCTTTGATTCCACAAAGAAAATTGGAAGTTCAGCAAGGCAGATGCTGAATTCTCATAAGAACCAGATACCCAAAAGTGTTTCAGGAACAGCAAAGAAATTACATGGTTCTAAATTACTTGAAAAAAAATCTGGTGTTGCTATGAAGTCTGCAAGGAAAGGAAGGTTCGTAGTGAGATTCTATGCATATTTTATTTGGTTAAATTCTAAATTGGTTATTTGCATTTTTATCGCTTTATGGATGTATACATTTTTCTTTTTTATTAAAGGAAATTGTTTGATGAAGCCAGCCATTCTGCTGCTAAAGCTGAGAAGGTATTATCTTTTCTTCTTCTCTAAATATTTTATCTTTTTTTTTTTTTTTCTGTATGTTTTAAAGAGGACATGAAAAAGAACAACTCTTTTGTTTGGCTCAAAGGAGAGGCAGACATGAAAAAGTATATAGCCAGGGGGATAAAAGCCCTAGTCTGGAAGTCATATTAATCAAACATTATTTTTGTAAATCAAACTGATTTATCTCTCTCTCTTATATGTATGTATGTATGTGTACCCTTAGGAATTCTTGTAAGGAATTAAATACTAAGTAAATATTTACTAGAACTCATTTTATCTAAGTACAAATAGTTTTGATATTATTACCAAAAAAAATGGTTTTGATATAGGTCCTTCTCGCATATGGGGGTTTGACCATTGGACAGGTTAATATTATAATTTTATTTCTTATCGATAAATTAGGTCATTTGAGGCCAGGGAAAAAAAGTGTATGACTATTCATTAGTAGTGACTATGGGAGGTGTCATTAATATTTTTATTGCAAGAAATTTTCATTTTCCGTGCTACTCAAGCATCAGAGCCTTTATTGATGTATACATTTTTCATATTTTATTTCTTATTCTATTATTGACAAACAAATTAGAAAGCTCAACAAATTAGTTGGTATCTTCCACAGGACAATTCATTATCAGAAGCAGGAAATCATGTTGAACTCAACTCCGAAGGGGAAAAGGTAATAATTAGTATACCTAAAATCCCAACATGAACAATACCTTGACAGAAAATTGTTCTCAATTCTTTAGTCTCATAACGTGCTTATTCATTGGAAATTGACATGTTTTGTGCAGGAGAATTCATTTCCAGCTTCTAGTCATGATGTGAAACTCAATCTGACGGTGGACAATGTAATGACCTGATCTTGTGCAAATGAAATATGTTCAGGACCTTCTTTCAGCTAAAAATATTTGCAAAGTTGGTACCTGATCTATTTTCATTCTAGAAACTGATAAATGTGCTCTATGCAGGATGACTCATCTCTGAATGCTAGCACTGCAGTGGAACTCAATTTTTCCCTAGTGGAAAAGGTAATGTTATCAATTATATCAAAGGGTCCATCTTCCTTTTTCTTTCCTCATTTAGATATTTTTAAAACCTATCAAACCTTGTTACCACTAAAACATCAGAAGGGATGATGCTGGAATGTTTTATTTGGCTTAGGTGCAGAAGATACTTCTTACTAATGTTCTTGTGTGTTTGTGTAGGGTATTTCTGTTGATAGAGAAGATCATCAAGAGCAACATACCCCTTTTGCCAGTAATTACTCGGAATCTGAAGCATTGTCAATAGCAGTTCAGGAAGGTTGTGAGTGAACCACTTTTGAGAGATAAATTGCTTAACTAATAGTTCATATGATTCATGTCTACATTGCTATGTTTTTTTGTCATTACAGACCATAACATGAACAAGGAGAACAACAGTTCAAGGGCAAATGAAGATGGTTCACCACCCATTAGTTCTCAACTGCGTGATCTTTCTAATAGTCTTAAATTGCTATATTCGTCAACTCCATTGTGCGTACAGATACCAGAAACGGAATCCATTTCACTGGATAATCAGATGTCTGCTGATATTGTGGAACCAAAAACTCCTGTAATTGAACAGAACATGAGTGTCAATAATAAATGGGATGTAATGAATGCCCAAAGTCCATGGGGAACATTCAGCATGCGTGGTTCTGAAATGAAGGTTTGATTTATTCGTAACATTGGCAAATGACTCTGTTTTTAGTGTGTACTTTATGTCTTTAATTCAGTTTTATTTTTTCTTTTAATTGCAGAATTCGCTCGTTCAAGAATACCTTCGGGTTTTAAATACAGCTGACAAGTAAGTAGACAATTAAGTAATGCATGTCCAATTTTGAATTAAAAAAATGGACATATTTTTACTCTTTTATATTACTTGCTGATTGACTCTCAAGTTTTAAATTCCCCCCTAAAGAACTTGTTGCATAAGAAATTAAACACAATTTATTCCCGATTTATTAATAATGTGGGTACCATTTCATATGGAAGGTGAGTATTTAATTGTTATAAAATGTTATCAGCATTTCATACCTCTTATGAGAATCTCACTTGTTTACTTTTTGTACTTTTCAATTTTTATTCTGAACACCAACAGGGAAGAATTAAAAAAACTGAAGGTTAGGAATGCTTCACCTTTCAATATAAAGATGGCTTTTTTCCTGTTTACTTTCACTTGTATCTGACTGAAATTTTTCTTGTAGGGAATTGGGGAGAAGAGAGCAACCTTCATACTTGAGCTTCGTGAAGAATCTCCAGAACCTTTCAAGAGTGTATGTCCTTAAAAGTTTTCTTAATTAATAAAATTGTACACTACTTTTTCCCTCCGCCAACAACTTTTCTACTGGTTAGATGGTGTGTTTATATATCTGACCGTTTTGGGATTGTGAACTTTTCTGTTAACACAGCTAGATGATTTAAAGGATATTGGACTTTCGGCAAAGCAGGTATCATTCTCCTCATATATTGTCATATTTTTATTTTTATTTTTGTTTAATCCATAATCAACAATGTAAAAAGAAAAAATAATAGTTAACTATGAAGTTTTATTCTTCACAGATTAAAGGAATGATGAAGAAGGAAGTTGGAGAGCTTTTCAGTTAGCTCTCTAAGGGCATTGCTGAATTTATAAAAGTGTCTAGAATATCTTGTAGGGACCGACCTTTGACTGTGTCTGTATGGATTTGTATTGGCAACACCTAAAGTTGCCATGTGTAATAGTGACGTGTGTATTGTAGTTCTGTTCCTAGTTTTTATTTATTTATTTATTATGAGAAGTTTAGATAGTAGAATGTAGAAAATGATAGGTGAAAATTCAGAAATCTTCCGGCTTTTTTTTTTTTTGGAAAAAAGGATATTGAAACCTTATCATGTTATTTGCAAGTCAATGGCATTACTAAGCTTATATTTTCTCCTACCTTTTCTTTTTTCTTGAAAAAGAGAGGGATGATTATAATCAACGCAACTCAAATATAACTGGTTGACAATTGGGTGAAGCCTTCCCGTACGACTTACGAGGGGATGTGATTTTTTACCTTTTTTTTTCCTTAAGCTTATAGCCGCTAGTTCGCCTCTTTGTTGTTGATATCAATTCAAGTTATGAAATGCTGTTATAGGCAATTATAAGTAGGAGTTATTTTTGTAAATTTTGTTAAGTAGGGGTTATTTTTGTAAATTTTGTTGTGTAGATACCCTATATATAGATGTTCACAACAGAATTTAAGGCATGAAATAACAAAATTTTTTGTACTATCATTCTTTTGTAATTCAAACCAAATTCATAAAGTATTTCAAGTTTTATTCCAATTCCTGGAATCCTTATTATCCAAGTTCTTCGTTTTTCTAAATTCTTAGAACTGCGATAACAAATGCCAAATGATAATATTAACTGTAGATGCTTTAAATTCAGCCCTCAAGAAAAGGAAGTTGGGATTATATAGTAAAATCTTAAAAATTTTTTAAACTCCTAATTATTCTTAACCACGCGTGAGAGGATGTTTTCATGGATTTTATTGGGGGATTCCTCAAGGAAAAGGAACACTATCATAGTTATCATAGTTAATGTGGATAGGCATAATAAAAATATGCTCATTCAATTCCCTTGCACCACCTATACACAGCCACAGATGTTGCTACATTGCTATGGAAATTCACTTGCATGGTTTCGGGTTTTTTTTTGCAATTGGAGCCACACAAGTGGAGCAACACATAGAAATTTTTAAATAATCTTGAAAAACTTGAAAAAAAATGTCTGTAAAAATAATTAATAAATTATGTAAAATAAGAATTTTTTTATTTATTAAAAAATAATTGTGTATTTATGAAAAAAGTGATTTATTTAAAATAGATTTATAAAATATTTTTAATTTTAACATGTGAAATAATTTTTTTTAATTAGTTGGACTTAACTAGTTTTTATCCTTGCTTCTGCCTATGTATTGTAACTAGCACCTAGTTACAACAAGAGAATCAAAACTACGTAATTTTAAAAAAATAGTTTTTAAAAATTATAATTTAAAAATATTTTGAAAATTTCTTTTAGAAGACAAAGTAGTAATGTATACCTTGATATTTTTATTAAAATAACATAAATAAATTAATATTTTTATAATTTTATAACAAATGATGATAGAGTAATTTTACATTGATATTATTAATCATTCCATGAATTTAAAGGTTTTTTTCATAAAAAATACTTTTTATTTTATAAAGAGAATACAAATTAAAAAATTTATAATTAAAATTATATATTTTTGACTTATCAATATATATATATATATATATATATATATATAATGTGTGTGCTTGACTTTGTAACGTGATAAAATAACTTATATATCATTTTTATTATTTGTTGATTGATTTTTTTTTTCAATTCTTTTAGCTCTTTTTTAAAAAATAGATATTAAACGTTTTTATTTTATTTTTTGATAATAATTTTTTAAATCTAAAATAGAGAGTAATTTGAAAAAAAATATCAATTGATCTAATAACTTATATATCACTTTTTTTTTTCATGTAGTTAAATTTGACTCGGGTCGCGTACTTAAATGTGGTAGGTGAGTCTTCCAATAGAAATTTTTTTTATATACAAGGATTTAAACCTGAGACCTTACTTAAACGATACCGAGTCACACTTAAATGTGGTAGGTAGGTCTGCATATAGAAATTTTTTGCATATACAAAGATTCAAACCTGAGACCTTACTTAAGCAATACCGAGCCGCTTATCACTGGGACTAACATTTGTTAGTACTTATATTAACAATATCACTTTTATTAATTGTTGAGTGATTTTTTAAAATTCTTTTGGCTCTTTTTAAGAAAATAGATATTGAATAATTATTTTCATTTTCTGATAATAAATTTTTGAAAACTAAAATAGAAAAAATTGATTTTTACATTTTCTTTAGAGCAATTTGGAGCAAAAAAGTGAAAATATATCAACAATTGATCTAATTACTTGAAACATGAAAATTGAAGGAGCTAGCAAATAATTACTAAATTCATGAAAAAAGCATATAATAATAATAATAATAATAATTAGTTACAATTAAAGAACATAAGACTTAATCAATGGAAGTTAGTTCAAGTGATAAAAGACTCGATATACTTAACTAAAGTCTCAGGTTTGAGTCTCTTGTGTATACAAAAAATTTCTAGTGATAAACTCACCCACCACATCCAGATGTGCGACCTAAGTCGAATTTCAGATAAAAAACTAAAAAAAAAAAAAAGAACATAAGAGTTAGCAAGGAAAAAAATAAATTGAATAATACGATGTCACAACAAATAACGAGTGAGCTTTAAAAAATATTTTTTTTAAAAAAATAAGAGAAGTAGCCACACAATTTTATTAAATAAAACTTTAAAAAAATATAATCTTTGAAATTATAAAGAAAGTCAAGATTAATAACATCATATAACATTTATTTAAATAACAGTTACTTTAAATTAATTGTATAAATTTATTATAATGTTGACAATATTTGTTTAACTCATATACAATAATTTTTGCTATTTTTAATTTAAAAAAAGAAATTATGAACTAAAATATTAATTATTATTATAAAAAAGAGAAATTTATTTTAAAAATTACTTTAACTTAACAAGTCTCGTTTCTATTTTTGGTATTGTCAAGTGTATTGAGAAACTCAAAGTCACACAATTCTGTTTAAAAATTGTGAAATTAATTTATTAATTTAAAATTTATAAAATTTTAACAGAATTTATTTCAAAATTAATTTTGTTTTCTTAAAAAAAATATCTTTAGAAATATAAGATAGCACGACTATGTGTGTTACTTTTTACAATAATTAACATAAAATATGAAGAAAGGTGATACATTCATGTAGTAAATTGTTGCAAAAAAGTATGATAATTAAGAAAAATATTTTCATTTATGAAAATATTTAAGTATATATTTTAATTCAAGATTTGATATTATAGAAATTCAAGACGTCGTAAGCTATATATTAATTAGTTATGACTTATTCGTCAAACAAAGATATTGTAAATCACACATTGGTACAAAATATTGTATGATAAAATGAAAAAATACATTTAAGTAATCACTAATCAAATATATAGTTATTTAATTTATTAAAATTAGAAATATGACTTAAAACTTTTAAAATATAAATTTAATTATTTTTAATGAAAAGAGAAATATTTAAAAAGAAAAAAAATATTTAAATTGATTAATAAAAGTAATTATTTAATTTAAAAAATTAAAATATTATTTAATAAAGTTATATTGTACTAGACACAGGGTTACATTAGTATATAATGATCTTAATGATTTTAAATACATAGAAGTAGAGACACTATATAATAATGTTATAAACTACTATATTAATATAATTTTAACTTAGTTGATGAATTAGTAAATAAATTAATTCTTTAAATATTTAAAAGAAAATATTAAGTTAATCAACAAAATAATTATCCAATTAATTTAAGATGAATTACAAATTGTTGTATCAATAAGATAAATTTTTAAATTAATTAATAAATTGATTATTTGATAATTAAAGAAAATATTTGAAAGAGTATATATTTAAAGGGTGAAGTTTTTAATTGAATTAAAAATAAGTATTATTTAACTTTATAAATTATATAATTAAATGGTAATGAATCTTGATTAACTTATAAAATAAATTTTAATATTATTTAATAATTTAAGAGAAGAAAATTTTTAAATAAAAAATTTTAATTAAATAAAACAAAGATATAATTTATTAATTTTAGAAGTAAGATTAATTTTTAAATATACTGATAGTGCATGAGAAATAAGATAGTGAGTACACATATGCTTAACAATTTATAATGAATAAATATAGAGTTGCTAAATAATAGCTTATTAATTAATACATTAATAAATTTATTTTGATTTGATTTAATTAATTATTAAAATAGATATTTAAAATGAAACTATTTAATTAAATATATTTTTATCTATTAATAAAATAACTACATAGTTAAATTAAACTTGAAATATAATAATTTATATGACATAAATACACATGTAAATTTTGATAATTTATAATATTTAACATTTAATGATTAAAAAATTATACATATTATAAATTGATATAAATATTTTGTTTATTATTATAATATAAATTTGAAAAAAATATGATTTATTAGTTTAGGGTTGGAAGAACAATATACGAATCTAAATCAAATTATATTTACTTTACATGTTAATATAATGATTATAGAGATAAAATTACAATCAAGATCAAAGAATAATTAAATAAAATGAAACTTATAAAATTTCTCTAGAGTTATAAAGATAATTTTAATTTTTAATGTTCACATATTCATCCTATTATTATCATTAACATTTGTAAGACTAAATTTATAACCAAAAGAAATATATACTAAAATTATTAACTAAATGAAGTTTAGAAAAATAATAAAACATCAAAATAAATTTTAATGTATGAGTGTGTGCATCATTTTTATTTTTGTGAATTAAAAAATACTTTATTTCCTTTTTTTATTATTATATCTAAATAACAATAAAAGATATTATGACAAAATAATATATGTTTACAGATTTTTTTTTTTGTTTTATATTATTATTGTTGTTATGATTATTATTATTTAAAATAAGCAATAAAAGAAACTAAAAGAACTAAATTTAAAGATATAAACAAATACAAATAAAAAGTAATATATATATATATATAT